CGCTCACCAGACAGAGAGAGACATAGAGACAGAAAGCGAGAAATCACCCCCCAGGGGGGATGGTCACGCCGCAATCCCTTCTCCTCCATTCTCTCGGTGAGTTTTAAGCCACCGGGTCCGGGACACGAACCACGGTCGACTACGTGGGAGTCCAGCGACATAGCCATTATGCTAACCTCTGGTTCCCTTTCCTTTTTTTTTTTTTTAAGAGAGGTTTTTGCTGTAGGCTGCATGCACTCACCAGAAAGACAAAGAGAGACACAGAGAGAGAGACACAAACCAAGAAATCACCCCCCAGGGGGGATGACCACGCCACAATCCCCTCTCCTTCATTCTCCTTTTAGGTTCCTGGGCATGCACATACACGTACCAGTGTGAGTTTAAGCCACTAGGTCTGGGACTTGAACTGTGGTAACTATGTGGGAGTCCAGCGACATAACCATTATACCATCTGCTGGTCCCTGCTCCCTTTCTCTTAAAGGGGTGGCAGACAACAGTGGCTCATTGCCAAAACCAAACTGTCACGCATGTGTGCATGTTACATTCAATGGTGTGAAACAGCAAAGTCACAATTACATAACAGGTGCACAAGCGAGGTATAACTAATAATATAACTTGTTTACCCTGTGGCTTTCAAACATGATAAGATAGGAGGTAAGGGAGCCAGACTAAACCATCCTGACTCCATTTACAATATAAGGGGCTTCTTGTTCAGCACGTCAGTGGTGGTAGTTTAAGCTTTTCTCTAGGTCTCCATTGATACTACTCTGGCTTGAACGGTGGAGTGCATTTGTTGGCACTGTAGACGAGTGGGCTTGTTATCTTTGAGCGTTAGTAAAAGTCCTGACTCACCACTAGACATGCTGACAGCGCAAGTGAGGGAAGAATAGGGATGGTGCCTTAATACCAGCTAGGGCAAGAAGTCCAGCCCACCTACATGGTTCTCACTGATCCTCAGGTGTGGAGACTTGTAGGAATGAAAGTCCTGGCTCCCCATGGTGCCTTCTCAGATCCTACCCCAGAAGGGGTTTGGGACACTTTACCTGACAAGGTTTGAAGTCTAACCTCTCCACTCATTCTTTTGCTAGTGGAGATGAGGATGGTGCTGTTCCTCCCACCCCCTCCCCCACCATGGGATTTGGCTGGATTAGACAGAACTTTTTGTTGAGGGGGTAGTGGGTTCTGAGGTCCCTGGCCAATGTGCCTTCTTCTTTCTACCTTTTAGAGTCCTCTTTTGTTTTGTTTCATAGAGGATTTTTTGTCATAGGGCACATGCAATTGCCAGGGGAAGAGGGAGAGAAAGACAGAGAGAGGGAAAGTGAGAAATCACCCCCCATGGGGGATGGCTACACTGCAGTCCCTTCTCCTCCATTCTTCTCCTGGGATGTTGGGTATGCATGCATATATGCCCAGTGTGATTTTTCAAGTTAACAGGTCTGGGACTCAAACCCTGGTTAGCCATGTGGGAGTCCACAGCAATGTAACCACTATGCTATCTGCTGGCCCCTGGATTATTCTTATATATGCTGTTTTATATAGAATGTCCATAGTTTTTAGTTGTATCTAGTTAAGGGACAAATAGGGAGAAAATGTTTTCCCCATCTTCCCAGACACAGAAACCCTTCCCTTCATTTTTGAAGGCCATCTTTGCTGGTTATAGAATTATTGGTTGAAATTTGTTTTCTTTCTGACCTTTAAACATATCAGTCGCTTGCTTTTTGACCTCTATTTTTTTCATTTGAGAAATCCATAATAATATTATTCTTTTGTATGTGATATATAATGTATTTTTTTAATAGATGCTTTTAAATTTTTTCTCTTTATTCTTGGTTTTCAGCTATTGTGCCTCAGTTTGGTTTTCTTCATACTCACATTGCATGGGATTGGTTAAGCTTTTTAGTTCTGTGGGTTTGATTTTCATAAAATCTTGGAAATTTTCAGCTAATTTTTTCCTAATCTATTTTTATGCCCTATTCTTTCCTTTTCTTCTGAAACTCCAGTTATAGTTAGGCTAAATATCCTGATATTGTGTCACAGATCACTGAGATTATTCACTTATGTGAACATTTTTCCCCTCTTTGTTCTTCAGATTGGATAATCTCTTTTGATAGACTTTCAAGCTATGTCACTTTATTCTCCCACCTTCATTGTGCTGTTGAGCCCATGCAGATATTGTGGGTTTGGGTTCTAAGATTCCTTTTTAGTTTATTCAGTCTCTGCTGAGATTCTCTTTTCACCTATCATGACTATATTTTTTCTTTTCCTTCAAGATATTTATAATGTTCATAACAAATATTATACCCATTAATACATATGGACATGAACAAGTTGATATGAATTTAAAGTATGGATCTATTTTAGTGAAAAAATGTTTGAAGTCCATGCATCGTGTTTCATAGTAAACATTCTCCGTGAACTTTTTCAAGAGCCCTTTTTGTGTGCGCATGTGTCTGTGCACTTGATTGTATGTACGTGTGTAACATACACGTATATAGTACTTTAAAAAGCTGTTTTAGGGCCAGCAGGTGGTGTGGGAGTTAAGGCATTTGCATCCCACATGGCCAACTACAGTTTGAGTCCCAGACCTGATAACTTACCTTCTTTTTTTTTTCTAAGAATTATTTTGTTTAACTTTACTTACTTATTTTTAATTTGACCAGAGGGGGACAAAAAGAGAGAGAGAAAGTGAGAAAGCAAGCTGACAGGTCCAGGAGTTGAACCACGGTCAGTCATGTGGGAGTCCAGTGTCCTTAACCACCACACCACCTGCTGGCCCCGATTTACCTTCTTACTTTCCTTCTCTCTCTGTCTCAGTCTGGTGAGCACACATGCCCTATAACAAATTAAGAAAATACTAATAAATAAAATTAAATAAATAATTCAAAAATAAAGCTGTTTTATAATTTGTCCAGCTCCTGATGCCAGACAAACATCTTGGGTAAAGAGAGAGTGCTGATGGTCATTTGAAGTCACTCCATCCAAGTGTTAAGAAGTTGAAATCTTGGAAATAGAGATTTTAGGGTTTGAGAGATCTATTGAGTGGAGTCATAACTAATAGAATTTAAGTATCCATTCTTTATTATGAAAGTTGGTCTTCAAGACTTGTACATTTTTTTTAACCCTTTATGATTTGAGACAAAGTCTGGCCAGGGAGTCTAAACATTTCAGTCTTGCCTTTCTCCTTTTCCAAGGTAGTCTGTTATTCTCCCACTCTAGAAAGGCAGAAGAAAGGGAGTACTGAAATCATCAGTGTCGCCATCCTCTCTCCCGTCTGTGGGACCCAGTAATGGTCATAGAACTATAATAAAATTATCACAATACAATGATCTCAGTTAAGCTTTACTCATATTGTACCCTGCCAAGTCCTAGTTAGTCCTTAGCGCTGCTGTAACCTTCTGGAAGTTCCATGATAACATTCTGTTCCCATCCTATAAGCCCAGCACACAGTGGGTGCTCAATGAGTGTTTGAACAGCTGAGCGTAGAATCAGATGAGAAGAAAACCTCGTTTCCTGACGTTGTCTGTGACTATTCTGATTCTGTTCCTTTCTTGCTTCATCTCCCTCATTTATTCATGAATCTCCATTGAGAGAACAGTAGATAATAGTTGAAATTTTTAAATTCTGAGAACTAAGTACAAGCCCTGAATAAAAGTTTTCAGGGATTAAGCACAAATTCTGTGCTGTCTTTTTGACTTCTGCATCAGTCATTCTGTACAAAAGAACCAGGAAACCAGGAAATGAGCTTTGGTCTTTCTCCCTACTCATTCAGGTATCAAAAGATCACACCTGCCATAAAGTCGCAGTTACCATGGCACCTAGGGATACTTCACGGTTTAGAACAGAGTACGAAGCATCGCAAATTGTTGGTGTCACTGGAGATAGCATTTGAATGATATTAGAGAAAAATAACAATTTGAAATAAAAATAAGAAGCTTTGATAATACACTGTTTTAATTTCATTCTTTATGAAAATATAGATTATGTGACTTCTCTGGGGAGACTTGTGGCTTCTCGGTACGCTGATGGACTGTTTCCACAGTTCTACGTAGCAGAGGACAACAGAGTATACAATGTAAGTGGGCATCTCCCCTCCATGGATGGGTCCCTGACACTCTGTGGTGATTACTTTAGGAAGTGTGCTGTGAGGAGGGGCTTGTGCTGCTTTGTAGTGGTGAACCTGAGCCCAGTCTTGTCAGGCTGGGGTTTTTTTTTGCAGTGGTGGAGTGATGACAGTCATGGCTGAGAAGCTGGGGGAGGAGGCTCTTGACCTGCTAGAGATCAGTGCACACAACTCTTGGTCAGACGTGAAAACTTTTGCATATCAGCTCTTCGTTTTGCTTTGAAAATAAGGGGGATGGGGAGAACAATGTAACAGAGATCTGTTAGAAGTTGAAAACAAGATGCTGTTTTTTTCTTCTTCTTCTTCTTCTTCTTCTTCTTTTTTTTTTTTTCTATAGGGCGTGTGAGCTTGCCAGACAGACAGAGAGAGACAGAGAGACAGAAAGCGAAAAATCATCCCCCAGGGGGGATGGCCACGCCACAATCCTTTCTCCTCTGTTCTCCCCTTGGGATCTTGGGCATGCATGCACACGCGCCCGGCATGAGTTTTAAGCCACCAGGTCCGGGACGTGAACCACGGTCGACTACATGGGAGTCCAGCAACATAGCCATTACGCTAATTGCTGGTCCCTATTCTTCTTTTTTTTTTTTTTTTTAAGAGGTTTTTGCCATAGGGTACATGCACTCACTGAAGAGAGAGACAGAGGCAATGAGTGAGAAAGTGAGAAATCACTCCTCAGAGGAGATAGCCATGCCACAATCCCTTCTCCATTCTCTTTCTGGAATCTTGGGCACACACGCACCTGCACCCAGCATGATTTTCAAGCCACCGGGTCCAGGATTTGAACCATGGTCACCCATGTGGGAGTCCAGCAGTATAACTACTATGCAATCTGCTCACCCTAAGATGTCATTTTCTGACAGAAGCACTAGGAATGGAGGCAACTTTTACAGGTAGACAAGGAGAAAGAGCAGGTGGCACCTGTCACTGGAGTCCTTAAATCCCAGCAGTTCACTCCCTGGCTCTTTTGACCCCGCAGCACCCCCTGTGCAGAGCTTGGCTTACCATGTGGAGTTCATAGGCTGCTGGAGACACATGTCCCATCATGTGCGTTTGTGGGGATTTGTTTGTTTGATTTTTAAGTTTCTTATTTCCATGAATTCATGAATGAGAGAGACAGAGAGAGAGATAGCACCCCCAATAAGATTTTGATGCCATGATCCACCCCCCAGCTTCAGCCATACCCAGATCAAGAACATGCACATGCCTGAGTCCTCAGGGAGGTCTCTGGACATAAACCCAGATCCTTGTCATGTGGGTCAGCCTCACGGAGCCTTGGGTTGTACCACTGTGCCACTGTCCAGCCCCCCATTTATCTGTCCATGTCAGTGTGTATCTATGTATCACCTGCACTATTGTTTTCTAATATCTAAACAGTTCAACCACTTTTTTTTTTTTTTTGAGAGAGATTTTCGCTATAGGGCACGTGCGTTCGCCAGACAGAGAGAGACATAGAGACAGAAAGCGAGAAATCACCCCCCAGGGGGGATGGTCACGCCGCAATCCCTTCTCCTCCATTCTCCTCTCGGGATCTTGGGCACGCACGCACACTTGCCCGGCATGAGTTTTAAGCCACCGGGTCCGGGACGTGAACCGCGGTTGACTACGTGGGAGTCCAGTGACACAGCCATTACACCAACTGCTGGTTCCCCAGTTCAAACCACTTTTTAAATGAAGTCTGGTTCTAAGCAATAATAGCTATGGAATCTAAAATATGTATTAAGAAAAGAACACACATCGGGACCAGCAGTTAGCATAATGGCTATGTCGCTGGACTCCCACGTAGTTGACCACGGTTTGCGTCCTGGACCCGGTGGCTTAAAACCCACGCCGGGCGCATGTGCGTCGTGCCCAAGATCCCAAGAGGAGAATGGAGGAGAAGGGATTGCGGCGTGGCCATCCCCCCTGGGGGGGTGATTTCTCTCTTTCTGTCTCTCTGTCTCTGTCTGTCTGTCTGGCGAGCGCACGCGCCCTATAGCAAAAACCTCTCCAAAAAAAAAAAATGAAAAAAGAAAAGAACACACATGAGTGTCTGTGTGTGTGTGTGTGTGTGTATGTGTATATATGTATATATATTTGGTCATCAGAAAACTCATGCTTTTTGGCATAGAAAAACATGTCGTGACTTTTCCAATGACCCAGTATGTGTGTATATATAACATTTACTCATGTGTTTATTTACCTATTTACTTGTGATTCTTTTTTTTTTTTTTTTTTGGGAGGTTTTTTCTTTAGGGGGGGGGGGCCCCCCAGAAAG